AAATCCAAATTCTTAGTAGTAATGTTCTAATTGGTTAATTATCATATAATTATCATATAATTTATTATAATAGATTTGTAACAAATAGCATTGAATAATTTAAAACTTGCAGTTAAATTACATGCCAATGCATTTGAAAAATAAATTTAAATTATATTTTAAAAATTGGCATTCTGATTATTAAAGTTATCTGACATATACTATTTGATCTAAATTCTAGAGAAATTTGGTTTCTTGTGACAATATTTATATATTATTGTCTTTTGTTATAAATATGTTTCTATTATTATTATTATTGCATATCAAACTGACAGAAAATAAAAATTATCAAAGATTTGTTTTAGTCTATCTTACTTTTTAGATAAAATGTTTGCTTATTAAAGTATACAATAAACTTTTAAAAAAAAACATATAAATAAAGAACTAATAAATCATAATGATAAATAATTTTTGTAACCAATTTAAATAAGAATCAAGTATTTTTTCTTTAATTTTTGTTTTCAAACCAAAAAATATTTTATGGAAACTTTTTTAAATAATATAAGCATAACTTTTTTTTAAAAAAAAATTAGGAACCTTATTTTTATTTTTTTTGATATAAAAAGAAGAGTTGAAAAAAAGTTTTAGGTTTATAATAATAAACTTTTTGCTTTAAAAGAAGCTATAATAGCTAAACACATGCCTCATGCAGTTTTAATCTAATAAAAAACTTCTAAACTTATTTTTGTTTTCTTGATGCTACTGCAAAATTATGCACTTATTCAGATCACCTAAGAAATTTTTTTTAAAATAAATCTTGATAAAAATTTCAAAAATATGACTATTTAAATGATTTCAAGAACTAAGAATATTTTGAAAATATGAAGTAACTTAATAAGATCTATAATGTAGTAAATTTTAATTAAAATTTAAGTTTTAATTAATATTCACTTATTTTATATTTTTTTAAAAAAAGGTTCAATATGTTTATTTTCTTTTTAACCTTTATCTTACTAAAAAAGATATAATAATAGTTACTGTAATAGCTGCAACAATGGTTTTTTGTATTAATTCAGACTATAGAAAACTTGAATTATTCTGAATTCTTTTTCAAAGTATTTTGAGTTACAATTCTTGCACTATTTATTATCAGTTAGTAGTTTATTACAGGGTTTATGTTTTGAACATTTATATATTTTATATAAATTGTAACTTATTTAATAAAGTTTATATTGGATGTTAAATGAAAAGAAAAAAGAGTTTGGTTTGTTTTAATATTTCCTTTTTAAGAGAATTAATTAGTTATTATATAGTAATAAACATTGATTTTTTGAGAACCATTTCAAATTCACTAATTTTGAATTTCATATTCTTAATTTTTTTTTTATATTTTTTGACACTTATAAAATAAATTTTTAATAAAAAATATGACTCTCTATTGGTGTTAAGAATCCTTTTGTTATTATTTGAATTGTGAAATTTGATATTCATAATATATTACATTATTTATTAAATTCTTTTTCAAATTATACAAATTTTTAATAAATAATATTATATATTGTTTTCATTTGAGATACAAATAGAAATCAAAATTAATTTAGCTTTGTATACATACAGATAAAAGATTAAGTAAGATCGACATTCTTATAAATTCTGCATATATCTTAATCAATGATACATATTAAAAATATTTTATTTTAATGAATATCTTGTACTAGGTATGTGTTAGTTCTAAAAGTATACATATTATTGAGAAGTTAATGGTTTAAAACATTACTTTTTTTAAATAAACTCAATGTTTCTCCAATGGTAAAAGAACCTAAGTCTCTCTCAGTAAATTCATGTCTACCTTCAATATCTCTATATTTCTTCAATTTTATATATTGTGATGAATTGTAATTTAACAACTCTTTTGATTATTTGCAAAATAATAACTCTTTTAATTATTTGTAACTTAATCATTTCTGACAAAAAAGGTATAAAAAATCAATTCTTTTTGCAGAAAGATTTGCTTTTATTATTTTTATTTATTGATATTTTTTTTTTCTTTTTTTTCAACAAAAATTTATTAGGATAATAATTCATTTTTGTTCAATATATAAACTTGAATGATAGAGTTATGCAGTCAACTCTGAATATAACAAACTTTTTCTTCAAATTTATTATATAAAAACTGCTTATTTCTTTTTTAAACTTAAGTGTATAATCTATTCAAAAGGATCATTTTTCAGCACTCTTTTCTGTTCAAACTTTGTTTTTAATTTTTCTTATATGATCATTGTGAAATTGTTAGTATTATAAAAAATAAATTAATTAATTAATCAAAGTTTGTTATACTGTTTTTTCAACACCTTTCTTTGACTCTATTGCATAAAGGAAATCTCTTTATTCCTATAAAGATAATTATACTATATTAAAAAGCATAATACAAAAAATACATTATGTGTAAAAAATCATGTTAAATATAGTTAATCATTGCATAGATGCTCAGAATTTTAAATACAAGACAATACTAAATTATACATAAACATATATGGACAGTATACTAGATAGTATATTTAAAGAGTACAGATTTCATGCAACACTACAAGTATTGACATGTTTTTCAATATATTTTTACATATAGTAATATATTTTTTACATCTTTTCTGTATACTTTTTCTTATAACTACATATGATCACATGTTCAAATTTATTATTTTTTTTTAATAATTAATTTTCATGCTTTATTCATATAAACTTAAATGAATAAAAAATATAAAAATAAACAAATAAATAAGAATGTGATAACTTGGTATAGTAGGTAAGTTGTCATCTTCCAAGTGGCAGGTCTAAGGTTTAAATCCTACCTAAAATGAAATTTGGAAAATAAGACCTATATTACAGTGTACTGTCTTTTGTCAATTAGTTAAATTAGAATATTTGTAACCAGAATCATATTAGCATAACTAAAAGATCAAGACATTGGTGCAATATTACATAAAACATGAAGAAATGCAAGCTGGTACTAGAGTCAGTGCAAACTTATAATAAGTCTATCACCCATATAAATCTATAGAACTGAAAAGATGAAAACCTACTTGACAAGTTCCAAGTAGAAAGGTAGCCAAACTTTTGATGAGACCACTGTAAAGACTAGACTCAGAAAAAGGACCAAATAAGGCAGAAGAACCAAATGAACAAAGTCAAGGACTGATACACCAACCAGGCTGTCAGGTTTTATTGTCATCAAAGAAAAAGAATACACACCAGTTGTGTATACCAGGGTCAGGTAACAGGCCCTCCAAGCCATCTGGATTGGAAGTTTGGGAAGCTCTGTAAGCAGAGGACTGAAGTACTGAGGATATGTTGTAAAGTAGTGATTAGGGTTTGAGTAAACTCTATAAGGGCCAGAAATAGTATAATAGTAGTGGTTTAGGGTAAAACTGACTGCAAGTGTTAATGTAATGATCATACAGAAACTATATAAAGCCAGGTAAGCTGCGTGTAGAACACAGAACACATTGATGGGTTTAGCATGCAGTCAAAGGCTCCCTATGTAAGTGAACGCTTTATATTTGTCCTTTTCAACACTGATTCCATATTCATAACATTCTCCAACGTTGCCTGTTGCAGTAGCATGACCCGGTTGTCACTCAATGCTCCGAAAGTTATTTCCTCAACAACTTGTTTCCCCGACACCATAATACCAACATGATATTTTTTATCTACAGCACATTATTTCGACAAGACATATATTTGACATTACATGTTTTCGACAATCCTTTTCTTAGACAAGACATTTCTTCGACAACCATTTCCTCAACATAAAATTGGCCTGATTTAGATTTAGGGTTAGTTGATTTAGAGTTAGTGTTGGTGAGATTATATGTCAGAGAATAATTTTTGGGAAAATATTTTGTCTAAGAAAAGGATTGTTGAAAACATGTAATGTCAAATATATGTCTTGTCGAAAAAATGTGCTGTAGATAAAAAATCATGTTGGTATTATGGTGTCGGGGAAACAAGTTGTTGAGGAAATAACTTTTGGGGAATTGTCACGTAACCCATGACCCATATCAGCAGATTTTTTATAATAAATAAAAGCTTTATGTTCATCCTTTTCAATTCCAATTCTATATTGATAACAATTATCAACATTATTTATTCCACTAGCATTACCCATATCAGCAGATTTTTATAAAAAACGGATGCCTTATGTTCATTCTTTTCAACTCCAATTCCATTTTGATAACAGACATCAAGTGCGAATATTCCACTAGCATTACCCATATCAGCAGATTTTTGATAATAAATGAATGCCTTTTGTTCATCCTTTTCAACTCCAATTCCATCACGATAACAATTTCCAAGATTGTTCATCGCTTGAGCATTTCCCATGTTCGCAACCTTTTCGTAAAATTCGAACACCTTCCTTTCATTCTTTTCGATTCCGATACCATAAATATAATTGTATACAAGTAAATTCATTCGTTATACCACTTCATATTATCAAGGTATGTAATATAAACTTAATTTTTTTGATAAATTTATTGATTAAAAGTTAACTTTTTTTTTATAGATAGTGAACTACATGGTTTGATTATTAAATATTAATATAAAATGCAGTTCAATTTTATTTTTTGACTTGTTTATAATAACAAAAAAGAAAAAATTTTAGACAAAAAAGTGTTTATATTTTGTTTGCTAAAAGAAATTTATTGTTTTATATAAAATAACAAAAAGTTTTTATGAATTTAAGTTGTATAAGACTTGTATTTTAATAAATAATTTAAATTCTTCTATTGCTACTTATATAGAATATCAAATCAAATTTTTTAATTTATTAATTTATCGTTATGTATTGTCACGGATTATGGTGAGATTTGGACCTATTTTAACATGAAAATTAAAAAATTTTTTGGGTTATCTTCCTAGCTTTTTTTTAGGGTTAAGTTAGAGTTTAGGGTTAGAGATATTTAGAAAAGAGTACAAGATGCAACTATTATGATCTAAAGAAATCTTACAATACTAACTATTATCTATGTGTAATAATTAATGTTACTGTTCATTTGATTATTTTCTTGTATAGTAACATCTTCTTGCAAGTATTCAACATCAAATATACGTTCTTTTAAAAACATTTCTAAAGCGTTAAGTCTACCTTGCAATTGTGAAATACTTAACTCAGTATTAGAATTGCTTACAAAAGGAATTATAGGGAAAGCAGATTCCAATTTTTTACGAGCATTACGACGGAAACACGGACACTTTAGTACACAGCCAAATGGATTAAGTTTATCAATACCTAATCAGACAAATTTTATATTAATTCTCAAATGTATTCGAAATTTTAAAAAGAACAAAATATTTTGCTTAATTACCGAACAGAAAAACATATATCCCTACTGCAGTAGTCCATAAACTTCCGAGCAAACCAAAAGTACTTAATAACTATTAGATTTGATAAAAAGATACATTTTTTTAGTTATGCGGAAATGGTATACGTTATAAATATTATACTAACTTACAGTTTTTGATCTAAAAAATACAGAATACAGTATTAGAAATTTTTATTGAATTAATTATAATTATTGTAATTAATAAAAATACTTACCTTTGTTCAGATTGTATATTAACTACATAATTTTGTGGACCTATTAGAATTGCAGATGCAAGTTTTACAGAGGAAAGGGTAGAGCTGGAAAAGCTAGTCGATTCTGAAAAAAATGGTAGAAAAGTTTCATTAAAAAAGGAGGCAAAATATGACATTTATTGATCATGCTTACGTATAATAGGATCAATGTACGAAGTATTATCCAATGTTGGAGCATATCCTAACAGGTCTGTAAATTTTGGTGATATTACTCTTTGAATACGTCGTGTAAACCAAACAAGATCCATCTTTAAAAATTAAATAGGCAAATTATTATTTTAAAAAATTTATAAAGTTACATATAACAGTATTTGCTCAATTACTAAATATATACTTGATTATTTGGCATATAAAATCTGGTATATAAAGAAGTATCAGAATAATTATTTATTTGTGTAAATGCCGTTTGATTTATTTGACCATTTGTAATAGGTAGTAGGTTAGACTCTAATAATGAAAAAGTCATTTATTATTAATAATTATAAGATATTAAAAATTTTTTCATCAACATTAACTCCGAAGAAAAAAAATTTCCTATTTTCTTGACAATATTGATGTTATGTTTATATTATATTAGCATGTGAAATTTTTTGCCATGACAGTTGCAAAATGATTGGGGTGTATAGTGAAAATCATTAATTGAATTTTTTTTATAGATTAACGATAATTGTAATAGTAAAAACATATAGAATTCAAATTGCAATAACTTTTGAACCAACAGATAAAATTACATTTGTCGGTTCATTTTAGCATGCTCTTTAGAGTAACAACGCCTTTTTTTTTTTTTTTTTTTTATTGTTTAGAGCATAGCGGATGTCTCAATTTCCATGCAAAATTGTCTTATTTGATATTTTTTTTTTAATAACAATATCAAAAACGGACTTTTAATTTTTTGTCGATCACCACCAATAAAATACGATAGACTAAAGTTTAAATTTACGGTTTTGATTTTTTTTTTTTGTTAAAAAAACATCAAAGACGACAATTTTGCATGGGAACTGAGACATCCGCTATGCTCTAAACAATAAAAAAAAAAAAAAAGCGTTGTTACTTTAAAGAGCATACTAAAATGAACCCAACAAATGTAATTTCACTATCGTTGATTTATAAAAAAATTCAATTAATGCGCGTTTGTATATAGACTTGCATGATACACCCCAATAAATGATGATGCCATTTGTGACAAATTACCAAGGCAAAAATCTACATGATCATATCACATCAACAATAACTTAAAAAGATTATAATATACCATGATCAGTAATATACACAATTCCATAATTTAAAATAGAGTTTATCGTAGGAGTCGTAGAAGTAGAAACCATAGCTATCATTAACATTGCTGTGCCATTTTGTGTAAAAGTTTCATTTGATGAAAAATAGGTCATATAAAGGTTTAATTGGGAATTATATTGTGATTTTGACAAATATTTGTCACATGAGCGATTTCCACCATTATTTGCTAATTAATAGATAGATTATATCTTAATACTCGAATATGATTATTGAATTTTAACAAAAGCAACAAAATGACCACTTACATTGAAATGAGCACGTTAAAACAAAATTATATTGATAAAGGAATAATAGAACTGAAATATAAAAGTATATATTTGTTTTTTTAGCATCACTCAATTTACATAATTTATATAATTTACATAATTTACATAATTTACATATGGTTCAAATTCATAAAAAACTTACCAGGCATAGGAAGTTCATTTATTTTTTCAAAACTTTGTACTATGGTTGGTTTCTCTGCCGTTATTTCAACAATCAAAGTCAGGAAATAGCACAATAAAAAAAAGGTCAATAAAATGATTGACAATCCTCTTAGCAAAAGGAGATTTTTTGGCTCCATTTGCCGGTATCGGCCAAATAAATCTTGAAAAATCATCGCTTATACTCAACAAATGAAAAGTATGCTTTTTTTAATTTTATAATTAATGGCTTATTTTATAACTTTTTAATTACGTATTACATTGTATTATATAATGCAAGCACAAATTACGATTTTTATTATCAAATTGGTTTATTTACTGCTTTTGACATCAAATTACAGTCAGACCTCCCTAAAACGCAACTAATTAGAACCAGGATTTTGATAACATGCATTTATGGAAGTTGCATTTAAGGAGGCCTACCTGTATTAAATTTAGTTCAAAAAGACATTCAACTTAGTACAAAAAAAAAACAAACTTTAGTTAAAAAAAAACATTCAAAGTAGTACAAATCCTATTTTATGTTTTAGAAATCCAAATCAGATAATTAAATTGGCATGCTCGGTGATAAAATTAATTTTTTTTGATAGATGTCTACCAGTAAGCAATTACCGTATTTTCGTGAAATAACGCGTTATTTTGAGACCCTGAGCGTTATTTCGAGTACGCACATGGGCGTTATTTTGAAACAATATTAAATTTTCGTACCAGAAGTATCATGTTAATAATAAATGATACTATATGAAGCTTGGAATTTAAAATACTAACTTATGTAATTTACTGTTTATTTTAAGAGATCGTTCCATTCTAAAAGATGGTTATATTTGCAATTATTGCTATAATAATTACATTATTTAACTTATTTTACACTATATGCACATATGTTATCAATACGTTATAAGGGGTGCACGTTATTTCGAGACGCACATGGGCGTTATTTTGAAGCCATATCGATATATGCTATTTTTAAGGGGTCCAATTCGCCCATGCCCGTTATTTCGCGAAAATATGGTATGTAAATAATCATATACTTTAAAAGAATAATATTTATGCATCACTTATTCTGAAATTGGATGTTGGATCATTAATTATGAAAGCCCTTTCAATTTAGTATTGTATTGCTTTGATGATTTGAATTTTTCAGAATTAAACCAATTTTGGAAACACTTTACTCGATATATTAATATATTATTTTTATTATTTATTTAGAAATCAAAATCGACAAGATTGAACCAAATTGATGATGAGTTTTTAAACTAATTATAGACGTTAAAAATAATAGAAAATTGGTAAATTTTGGAAAAGATATGCCAAAGGCAAACAATGGTTCGATCTATTAGATGAAGTGTGCCCAAATATCGATCTTGTACAAACAAAAGCTTTTTTACATGATGTAAGTATTAGTTTAAAAATATTTTAGTATAAATCTGTGAGAAATGAATCTTACTTTTAATAAACATTATAATTTTAAGTTACAGTTTTGCGATAATACAAATGAAGTTGTGAAAGTATTTAGCAAAATTGATGAATTATTGCTATCTGGAATTATAGATATTAAATTATATTGAAGTTCATCATAAAGAACTCGAAAAAGAGTATCGAAATAAAAGAATTTTGGATAAATTGGATGAAAAATTCCTAATTCAAGATTTGCCACCATCGCTTAAAAATTTTATAGAAGAATATATTTTTAGTCAAGATACAGAAATACCAAAAGAAGTAAACCTAAAGAAAAAGAAATTGCTTAGAGCTACAAGAAATTTATTAGACAGAATGTAAGTTTGATCATTGCATATATTTCATAGGCGTGCTTGCGCTAAATTTTAACTTATTTTTAAATAGATTGCCACTTTCGGATGCTTTTAGTTACAAACCTGGAAGCTTTATAAATGAAAGCACTTGGGCACATGATATAATTGATCCAATTAGCCGATTTATCAGTT